GAAGGAAGGAAGGAAGGAAGGAAGGAAGGAAGGAAGGAAGGAAGGAAAGAAGGACTAGGAAGGGAGGAAGGGAAGGAAGGAGGGAAAGGGAAACAGGAAGGAAAAAGCAGCAAGTGGCACAAGCAAATGGCAAAGTGGGAACTAGAAAGTGAATCCAGTGGTAACTACCCCACTCCAGCAACACAATCAAACCCTGATTCTCCAGCACCAGGTCCATCTTCTCCAACCCCAGTCCCATCTCCATCATCATCCAGTTAATGTTAGGCTTAATGTTAGCTCAAGGAGGGCTAACCTTTAATAATCTTGCTACTATTTTTTCTAACTTTCCATCTAAATTGTTTTAAGAACTGTGCTGTATACCTACACACATACATACAAATTTTCTCTCTCCTCAGTACCTGTAGTTACTTTATTATTACTGTATTATAATTATTATTAGAATGTTGTATTGTGTGTAAGATGTTTTAGTGTACATGGAAGTGTTTCTTAATTGTTATATATGCTTTTTATATATGTGATCCAACTTGCATACAATTTGACTTAAAGACGATCTCAGGAATGGAACTTGTTCTTTAACTGGGGACCAGGTGTGTAAAAAAAAGCCATGCTGGATAGACCAAAAGTTCATTTAGTCCAGCACTGTGTACACATGGAGGCAAACTAGCTGCCCTCAGGGATCCCTCAGGCAGGATGGGTGCAAGACATACATCCTCTTGCCCAAGCTCCTCAGCAGGTGGTGTAGCCTGTAGCCCGGATAGCCTCCTTTCTCATGAATCTGTCCAATCCCTTCTTAAAACCATCCAGATTGGTGGCTATTACCACTTTCCAAGGCAGGAGATTCCAAAGTTTAACTATACAACTGTGTGATGAAGTACTTCCTTCTATCTGTCCTAAAACTCCCACCAGTTAGCTTCATGGGATGGCCCTGAGTACAAATGTTATAGGAGCAGGAGAAAAGCATCTCCTTCTTCACTTTCTCCACACCGTGCATTATTTAAACAACTCTGTCATGTCTCCCCTTACTTGCCTTTTTTCTAAGTTGAGCAGTCCCAGTTGTAGCCACTTCTCATAGGGGAGCTGCTTCAGCCTCCTGATCATTTTACTTCCCTTTCTCTGTACTTTTCCCAACTGAATAATGTCGTTTCTTCAGGAGAGGCGACTAGAACTGAACACAATATTCCAAGTTTGGTCACCCCAAGGATTTGTATAAGGGAACTAAGATTTTGGCAGTTCTATTCCCTATTCCAGTCCTAATTATGCCTAACATGGAGTTTGCTTCACTATTTTAGTTTGATGGGGCACCTTCTATGCCAATGGATATGCTAAGGCATCAAAAAGCTTTCAACTAAAACTGTGTTCCCAGTTAATTGGGCAGCAGATGTTCAAAAGTTATTATTTTTAATGCAAGTACCTCTGAAAACTGCAGTACGTGGCAGCAAGGGCAGGTGGGCACTGGATGCAAGACCAGGCATGCAGGCGTGTGTGTGACTTGTGAAGCAATGCAGGAGAATCTTCTCTGGATTCCCCTTCCTAGCTGTTGCTGCAGCCAGCCCAGGATGTGGGGCAGGTGCAGCTGGTGACCTGATGCAAAAGACAAACTATGGTAAGGGAATTTTTTTTCACCTTGCATGTAAGGTGACCTCTTGATTTTTGCTTTGTTATTTTCAGTTTCAAGGGTTGTCTTATACACCAATATGTATAGTATAATATCTTATCAACCATCAGCTGCAAAGAAGTTACTGCCAGTAAGAGCCAGAACATTTTACTTCCCCTTAAAAAAAGATGCCACATCCTCAGGTGGACAAATCCTCAGGTGGACATATCTGGTGCTACCTGGCCACAATTTCTAAGTACCACACATTGGGAGGCAGAATGTTGACCCCTATGGTCTCCATGAAACCTTCAAGAAGCAGCAGTTGAAATAGCCACCCCACTAGCAACAGAAATATTTAAAGCCAGGAGCTGAACATTTTCTATCCATCCTCCCAGGGCCTTCATCGAAAAACACTGCCTTTTACTGCAGTCCTGTTTTGTATTATCAGCTACCTTAGAGGCCTGTAGGCAGCGACAAAGAAATGTTTTAAATAGCAATAACAAGTAATGATAAAATCTGCAATATATTTATTAGACGCCTTAGGTCTGTAATGTGGAGTGGTGTCCCTTTGACGATGACTATGTGAATGTCTTGCTCTGGCAGGATGTGTCTTTATGGAAAAGGTACATGCATAACTGGATTTCTATGAAAAGGAAGCTCTGGCTGTGTAAGTACTTTACTTCTTCACTAAAGGATTCATGACACCAAGGAAGAGAAATGTAGGCCCTCTGTTGCTTTGGACAATAGGAGAACATAAATTGATTGGAATTGCTCCTGATTTAGTAGGTATGGATTTGCATGGTAGGTAGCCATGCATTTTAAGATTATCAAGTGTAAGGAAGTTTTATTCAAAACCACAGCCAAGTTTATCCACACTCTTGTATTCCTGAGCATTGTGTATGGATGTGAAAGCTGGGCAGTGAAGAAAGCTGACAGGAAGAAAATTGATGTGTTCAAAACATGATGCTGGAGGAGAGGTTTGTGAATACCCTGGAGTGACAGAAAGATGAACGAGTGGATCCTAGATCAAATCAAGCCACAACTTTCCCTGGAAGCAAAAATGATAAAACTGAGGGGGTCATATTTTGGGTACATCAGAAGGCAAGGTTCCTTGGAGAAGACAGTCACGCTTACAAAAGTCAAAGATAGAAGAAGGAAAGGAAGACCAAATAAGAGATGGGTTGACCATCAAGGAAGCCACAGCCTTGAATTTACAAGAGCTAACTAGGGCTATCATGGATAGGATATTTTGGAGGGCTTTAATTCATAGAGTTGCTGTAAGTCAGAGATGACTTGATGGCAAATAACAGCAACAGTCATGCATTTTATTTAAGTGAAGCTACCTTCATAATTTTCCTTGTCATACAACTGTGAAAAGCACAGAAAGGCTGCGACTTACTGTCTTCTTACCATGTCCATGCAGTAAGGGTGCCTCAGTTCAGAAAAGGGTGATGATTTCTTAGCTGGAGTTCGCAAAGGGAATGTCACTGAGAACGGGTTGTATGCCCTGTTCCTTTACTGTGGGGTCAGTATTATTAATTTGTTGATTTGGATTTTGTTAAAGGTCTATTCAGATTTAACCCAAATGTTTTAAATAAATTAATAATACCACTCAATAATCTGTTTTATATTTTTATCCATATTTTATTCACATTGCGTTTTTAAATGTTGCAATTAGTTTTTTTATCATGTTTTATCTCATGACTGTGAGCCACCCAGAGGTGCTGTGGCACAATTGTGTGGCATTCAAATGTTTTAAATAACTACATAACCTCCTAGGCTCTGTGTTGGTCAAGATGTTTAAACATCAGGGCTTTATGGCACTTTAGAAGGTAACACATTTGTTACATAAGGGAGCATAAGAACTCGTTTGTGGTGCAAAATGCATGATAGCCCAGAATGTATGGGGATGTTATTTTAAAAATGAGACTGTATGTTTCCATAAGGCGATCAAACCGGTCAGTCCTAGAGTTCAACCCTGACTGCTCTTTAGAAGGCCAGATACTGAAGATGAAACTCAAATACTTTGGCCACCTAATGAGAAGGAAGGACTCCCTGGAGAAGAGCCTAATGCTGGGAATGATTGACGGCAAAAGAAGGGGAAGGCAGAGGATGAGGTGGCTGGATGGAGTCACTGGAGCAGTGGGTGTGAGCTTGGGTGGACTCTGGGAGATGGTGGAGGACAGGAAGTCCTGGAGAAATGTTGTCTATGGGGTCGCGATGGGTCGGACACGACTTCGCGACTAGCAACGTTTCCATATAGAAATGTATGGGAAATTTATTTTTAAGCTTGGCAATATTTCCATGCTTAAATGTGTTATCATCAAATAAGGAACTGTATGTTTTCATACATAAATGGAAAAAATACTTTTCAACATAAAACTCTGATTTTTTCCATAGATAAATGTATGGAAATCTTACTTTTAAACATAGCAACCTTTGTTCCCATAAATAGAAATATGCACATTCTGTTTAAACATGGAAGCACGTTTGCAAACATACAAGTGTGGGAATTTATTTTGACACAGTGTTGCCACACGCAGGGGCACGCCACAGGCATCCGTGTCTCCCGGGTCCCGCGAGGGGAAGGACTGCGGCGTCGTGCGCACACTGACAGCTTTGCACATGTCCCTGGTCTCGCTCACCCGCCCCGCGCTGCCTCCGTATGAGGGCGCGGCAGAAAGGCCCGGGAGGGCCCCATTCGGTGCCACTGAGGCGAAAGGGGAAGCTCGGGCAGAGCGTCAGAGGGCGGCTGTGAGGAAGGTGCCGTCTTCCTCCTCCGCAGCTGGGCCGTGTGGAAAACGGCGAACGCGGGGGGAGGGGAGGAGGAGGAAGAAGGCGCTTCTGTTCGCTCAATGCAACCACCTTTTGCACTAGTCCCGAAAAATGACTGTTTCGGAGACGAAGCCAGAAGGGTGGGGCCGAGAGGATGGCAGCACCACGTGACTGGCCACCTCTTCCAATCGAGGCCATTGCCACGCCTCTTAGGCCCCGCCTCTGAGAAGCTGGAGCCCGCCGCGGCCAATTGGGAAGCTTTATGTGGGCGGGGCGGATGGCTTGTCGTGAGAGTCCCTAGGGGCTAAATCGCGTGGGGAGGTGTGAGCGGCGACCGCCAGGTTGCCGGGGCCGCAGCCAATGAGGAGGCTCTTGGTGGGCGGGGCCGGGCGGCGGGTGGCTCAGGGGTTCCGTGTGGAAAGGAAGTGTTAGGGGGTTCGGGTGCAAAGTTTAGTTTCAAACCGTCTGCAAAGAGCAGCAGTGCTGCTTCTCCTGCTCCGTGGAACGCGGTCGAGATAGAAGGAGGCGAGGCGGCGCGCCGGCACCAGTGCGGGGACGAGCAGTGGCGCGAGCCGAGGCGGCGAGAGACAGGCGCGCTGCCGGGGAAGAGGCGACGCACCGCGCGGAGCTGTTCGCGGGTGGCTCCGGCACCTCAGCGGCTTCGCCACTGCTGGCCGTGGCTCCTCCGCTCGCCGAGCTGTTTGGCGGCGGGTCGCTGTTGCTTTCTTGGCGCCGTCGCTGCCTCCTGCGCCCGGCCGAGCCTCCTCGTCTTCGCCGCCGCCGCCGCCGGGCAGCTGGGGCGGTGAAGAGGCCAGCGGGTCGTTGTGCTCCGGAAGGATGGGCGCGGAGGGTCCCCCGGGCGAGCGCCCGGCTCCGCCGCGCCGGCGGCAGGGCTGCCGGCGGGTGAGGCTGCTGTGCATGCTGGCGTTGACCTTCCTCTTCTTCGTGGTGGAAGTGGTGGTGAGCCGGCTGACGGAGTCGCTGGCCATGCTGTCGGACTCCTTCCACATGCTCTCGGACGTGATGGCCCTGGTGGTGGCCCTGGTGGCCGTCCGTTTCGCCCAGCGCACCCGCGCCACCAAGAAGAACACCTTCGGCTGGGTGCGGGCCGAGGTGATGGGCGCCCTGGTCAACGCCGTCTTCCTGACGGCGCTCTGCTTCACCATCCTGCTGGAGGCCATCGAGCGCTTCACCGAGCCCCACGAGATCCAGCAGCCCTGGGTAGTCATCGGGGTCGGTGTCGGGGGGCTGCTCATCAACGTCCTGGGGCTCTGCCTCTTCCACCAGCACGGTGGCCACGGGCACTCGCACGGAGGCAGCCGCCGGAGTCGCAGCGGCTCCCGGAGCAAGGCGCTGGAGCGGCCTCCCGGCGACCTACATAAAGAAGAGGAGACCAACACCCTGGTGGACAATTTCAGCAGCTCCAATGGAGTCAGCATGGAGAAGCTAGGTGAGCGCTTGGGAGGAAGGGGCTTGCTGGGCGGGTGGGACCCTGGAGGTGGAGGCGGCCTGTGCTAGTCTGTCAGCCGCTGCCCATAGCTAAGGGTTTCTTTTCTCTAGAGCCAGAGGTGCCGGGGCCAAGACAGCAACAGAATCACAGTCTTCTCTGAAATAACTCCTCTCCAAGGCCAAATGACCTGTGGGCTTCATGATGAGGAATGACAGTTGAGGGAGCCAATATTTATTTCTAAGGACCACCTCTGCCCAAGTGTGTTGGAAAAGTGACTTGCAGAATAAAAAGTTTCAGCTTGCCCATATTGATGCATTTTTGTATGAGAATGCTGTATAGCAAGCACTACTTGGCTTGTGCTAATTATTCTTTCCTTTTGAGCAGCCAGAAAAGCTTTTATTTTCAGATGTTTGTCTTTGACCCCAGATTGTGCTATGCTGGCCTTAATGCACACTCTTGGCACTACTGTGGCCATTCTTGTCTCATCACATGTGTCCTCATTATAATTTTTCGATCATCTGGGAGATTGCTACTATGGCCATTAATGTAATATGTTACTCATTGCTTGGCAAAGATTGTAGATCTTCCAACTAACATGGCTTCTTCATGAGGGGTTGTGGAAGGGAGAAGAGAGACCAAGGCTCCTTGACAGCAAGAGAACTGAGAGAAGTAACTTTCCCTGGGAGACCTTGCCCTATAGTGCACAAGAACGTAGGTGTTTTAGGGTCACATTTTACATTCAAGTGGGGTGACAGAGGTGCCTCATCTTATTAGTGCTTTGGGTGAGCTGGCTATACTTCCTGCAGCATGTACCAACATCGCCAGCAGTGTGGTAAGGTTCACGGGCAGTCACATAGGGGGTTCTCATCTGTGAGTAGGAACGTCTGCAGGTAGTTTGAAGAGCACTGCTGTAGCTTCTTCCTCAAATTCTCTCATAAGTTTTATGTGACCGTTAAAGATCACAGAAACTTATTAATGGCTATCCTCTAGGAAATATTAAGGCACCCTATAAAATAGGTATATTTTGCTCATAATGTCTACAGGAGGGCCCATCCACATTACTTAGTAGAAAAACAAATAGGTGCTGCAGGTTCTTAGCTGCTTTGGATATCGCTTGCGTGATGAGTAGCAGGACCTGACTGACATTCCCTCTCTACACTCGGTATCTTTGCATGATGTTAGTTGTACCTAACAGGATTCCTAATGGAGCCAAGTAGGTGAAAATTGCCCGTCGCTGTCAACTGTCCTGAAGGTAGGGTGGAAGATCTGGGATGTGGATGGGCAATGCCTTCTCCGTCTAAATCTCACATAATTCTTTTTCTCTAATTACATGCATTGCAAGTGTCCTACCGACCTGCTATACTGGGAAACTCTAAATGCAGTCCATTATGAAAGACTTATTAACTCTAAAACAATTTTCAGGAGCTACATCAAATCAAAAGCTGCATGGTGTAAATGATTCTCCTACCGTGTAACAAATGTTTTAACATAAGCCCCCTCCCCCCTTTTCAATGAATCTGAGCAGGGCTGTCAAGGACAGGGCATTTTGGAGGACGTCCATTCCTAGGGTCGCCGTAAGTCAGAGAAGACGTGACAACATGTAACAACAGTCAAGCAGAACTAACAGTGGTGAAAACCCTTTTTCCTGCTCTGTTACCTGCAGTACGTCCTTCTGCTTCAGTATTCTTCCAGAAGTTGATTATATTTAGAACATTTTAATCACTTATCATCTGAGGTTTTCTAAAATGTAAACATCAAACTTCTTTGGACAGCTATATTTTAATTTCATAGTTCTGGAATACATAATTGGGCCCTCAAGGACTAGCAGTACCTCAAACACACTTATTTTCTAGCCTAGAAATGAATTTGATTTATGATAATATACAATTATACATTCTGAATTTATGCTAATGAACTTGGTTTATTTTACATTTTGATGGACAGCCAGAGTTCTGGATCATGCTCGGGCATATTACGACATCCAGTAGGACCTGGCCACCATCTGGTTTAATAGCTTAGCTTGATTGTTTGGAGCAGAGGGCTGGCACTGCTCCCACCTTCCCTAAAGCGGGCCAGCAGCATGTGCTATTGTCATAGCCCCCAATCTGTAATTGTACCATTAGCCTCTGCATGAGCTTCTGGGTGGCCCGTTGTAAGTTGTCCTGTTCCCTCAGGCTCTTTATTAGCTTGAATTTGCAGCCCTGGCCAGACATGACCAGACCAAAGTATGTTTAGATCATTCTAAGCCTTGTCCGTGTATAGTAGTGATTTTGACAGTTCATGCCTAGGAAGAATTATAGTGGTGCATGATTTCACACACACAAATCTCATAGCAATTCTGGAGGTACTTTTCAGGTTGATTGTATTTATAAGTCAACCTTGTTGACCTTAACATAAGTCTTGCGAAATCAGGTGGAGCGTAAGCTTGCCCCGGTGCAGTTTGTGGTGACCTAGCAGCACAGCTTTGTCATTATAGCTAGCCAATTCATCCAGGTTTGCATAGGTCCAGACACCTGAAATGTATTGAGACACTTTCATATCTTAATTATACAATCTTTGTCCTGCTGTAACTTTTTTTAAAATCTCAACTGCTTTTTTCAGCCCTCAGAAGCTTAACTCTTGATCTCTACTCTGTGGATGCCACCATGGGACTTGTAAATTTCATTATATAGGTGGGGTTTAATTTAGTGAAACAAGTGTAGGAGTTGTGATGGTTCGAATTCTACCCATTACATTGGTGAAAGCACTGGGCAAGTAGTATTTTGCTCACTGTGGATACCTACACATAAATTTCCTCAAGACCTTTTGATAGTCCAGAGGAAGATGTTTCTTTTGATACAATTGTCATTTTTATTCACAGTTGGCAAATGCTATACTAGCTTTCCAGTATAACAACACTTGCTTTTCTCAAGAGGGCTATATTGTTGCTTTTGCCAAGAGGCTGTATTGCTCAGCACTCTTGCTAATACTGGGTCACGCACAACTTATTTAGTTCTCAGATGTGTTTCCTGCGAGTGGAAGGGCTTCTTCTGTCTGCACAAAACATCTGATTCACTGGAGGAATCCTGCTAGCAGAAAGAGAGGGAAGGAATGGTTTTCATTTATATCCTTTTCTCTGAAGTTCTGCACCTTGTAGAATCTGTTTTGCAGGCATAGGGGATAGTGTTCTGGGAATGGCAAGGGAAGGGAGAAATCGGTGAACATTGTCTTCACTTTCTTTCTGCCGGAAAGGATGTCATGAGCTTAGATGCTGCTTCTGTTGGAAACAGATTCTGGATTGCACCCTATATCTGGGTCAAAATTCATGACAATCTTCGTTTAAACTTGTAAGGGAGAATAAGTGTGTGTTTATTTTTTAATAAATGCAAAGACAGAATAAGGGTTCCAAAATGAAGTGATGATAGAATAAGAAAGAATGTAGTTGATGCATCAGAATACATACATTCTTGACAAATGAGTATCTCCTTTTTGAGAGATACTCCTCCTGCTTCCTTCCTAGGTCAGTGTTGACATGCATGCATTTAGTAACTGCTCTCTGTGTGTTATTTGCAGTGACAGGTAGGAAATTTTGTTTTTGTTTTTTTAAATATAAACTGTCTCAGCTCTCCCATGACTTCATACTACTCTATTTCTCCCACCTTTTCTTCTCTCTCTAATTAGATAGAAATCTACTCTCTATCTTTTCTATCTCTAAACTCCAAATTAGAGCAGCTGTATTGAAAACAGGGACTTTTACTGTGATCATATTAGGCCACTACTCAGCTCTGGGTCTGAGTCAAATCCACAGTGCTGGGATTAACATTCAAAGCCTTAGATGGTTTGGGGCCAGGTTACCTGAAACATCATATCCTCCCATACATACCTGCTCAGGCCCTAAGATTGTCCTCAGTGGTCCTTCTGCGGGACCCCTTACCGAAGAAGTGAGGTGGGTCTAAAAGCCCTAAGAAAAGGGCTTTTCCTGCAGTGGCACCCTAGCCTTTTCCAAATAGGTTTGCTTGGTGCACTCTTTCCAGCATCAGGTGACAACCTTATTATCCTAGAAATTTGACATTTGCTGTTTCTGTTCCACCTTCAGTGTTTCTTTTTTGCATAACTGTGTTGTCTTGTCTTGCAGGTGATGTAGTTAAAGAGAGTCCGATGGAACTTCAGCCCAATGGGAATATTAGTAATCACTCCTCGCTTGACATGGAGGTTGAGGAAGACACAAGCGGTCAGCTCAACATGCGTGGAGTATTTCTTCATGTCCTTGGAGATGCCTTGGGTTCAGTTATTGTTGTGGTGAACGCCTTGGTATTTTACTCTTTTTGGACTCCATGCCCCAGAGATGGGCCTTGCATTAACCCTTGCAAGGATGACCATTGTGGAGAAAATGTTACTCAGCTCTCTGGCAGGATGAATGCCACTGAATTTGAGAAAATTCCTGTAGCTGGTCCCTGCTGGGTCTTATATTTAGATCCTGCTCTATGTCTGATAATGGTTTGCATTCTGCTGTACACAACTTACCCACTGCTTAAAGAATCTGCTCTTATTCTTTTGCAAACTGTTCCCAAGCAAATTGATATTCGTTCTTTGAATGAGAAACTCCGTAAACTGGAAGAAGTTGAAGCTGTCCATGAACTGCATGTTTGGCAGCTGGCAGGAAGCAGGATCATTGGCACAGCTCATATAAAATGTAAGGACCCAGAATCGTACATGAAAGTGGCTAAAGATATTAAAGAGATCTTTCATGATGAAGGGATACATGCGACAACGATTCAGCCGGAGTTCACTGTTAGGGGCTATGATGTAGGCTCTGATGAGGGTGTAAGCAAATGTGAACTGCCCTGCAGAACCCAGTGTGCTCTGAAGCAGTGTTGCGGGGCTGTGGAAAAGACTATTGCAAAGAAGACGGACAAGTCCCCTTCAATTAGTATTTCTTGTTCTGAAATAGTCATTGACTCTCCACATCACAAAACCAGGAGGACTAAATCAGAGTGCATACCTGCTATAAAGCTAGAGGCAGAACCTGACCCTAACAAACAGTTTGAATCCTCTTTGTAATTCCCACAGTTGTGCTGAGTGAAGTCTGAATTCAACTACAGTTGATTGTGAGAAGAAAAGACTGATGTTCGGGAGACAAGTTGCGAAATAATGTAATTGTTGAAGTCCCTGTTCTTGTCACAACACTTAAATTTAGGCTGCCTGCTTGAAAGAACATCATAGTGCCGTCCAGACACAATGTGTGTTTGTGTTAACTTTTAGTTGAATAGCACAGAAAAGTTCAACCAGTGCAGCAACAACTCTGCAGAACCAGTTTGGACTTTTCTGCTGAGATGCATTTTTGTTGAGTTTAACATTAAAATGACATTTTCCAGCAAACTTTCCTCCCTGCTTCTCCAAAACATTGGTTTTGTGTTAGGTTTCTTACTGAGGTTGCTCTTACTGCTTATTGATTTTTGTCTCTGTGTGCATGTGTGTTTCCCAATATTTTACAAACCATAAAGTGAGAAAACCAAAGGGGACAGAACCTTTTAATGTAAAAAACAAAAGGTAGACTACTTTGGTAATTTTAGACTTTCTTATTAAATGAAAAAGTGAATGCTATTTCAAATAGGTATACTAAATAGAATTAGTGGTATCTTAAAATATATCCAATACTTATTGACAAAAAGCCCCTTTTTGAATTGGGTCTGTGACACAATGAAAACTGCTTGAAAATATAAATGGTGGATAATTATATACCTGTCCCCTGGACTATTTGATTAACTTTTCAGACCGAAGCTGGACACACTTTACTAGGGACTTATCTGTTAAGTTTTTCACTCCTGCCTTATCCTCTCTTTCTTTTAAATAACTGTTGTAGTATATATTTTAGAATTCAGTAGAACTCAAAAACAGATTGAGTTATGCTGAGATTAGAGAGCCAGAGCTGGTCTTTGTCTTGGCAGGGTCTTCTGCTGGAATGGAATGGTTACTACTGGCTGGATTACACCTAATTTGAGTTTTAAAGAATTCCCAAAAATTAAACTTAGGAGATTCATCAATTTAGGCTGCTTAAACATTAATATATTACTTCCCCCTCCAAGTATTTATGTCTCATTCTGAGCCATTTTGCCTGTTAGGTAAAACAAAACCCAACCAGCTGTCTCCAAAGCATTCAATACACTTTCAGTGTAATGAGCTGATTCAGGCATCATGATATGTCATGGCTTTATTGGGTTATAAATGAGATTTGGTAGACTTTGGGCTTACATGCCCCCTTTCCCTTCCCTTCTAGCACAGCCACAAAGAGGAAAGTAGAAACTTTTACTTCCATTTAAAAAAAAATTACACTTGAGGACTGCATCTGAACGTTGGTAGATTAGAACAGTTGCTTGTTTTAAACAATTTGAAGTTAAAATTATCCTCAGTATGTTGGATTGAGGTGAAACATCATGCTGTGGTAAGTCAGAGGAACTGGAGGTCTCTGATATGCCTGCACTGAAGTAAAAGGGGAGCAGGTGAGTTCAAGAACTCATTGCAGATGATTCCCATTATAAGCCATAGTTGTTCATGATGTTCAACTTGGCCCACGGTTCCTTTTTGTGCAGCAGTTTTTGTGTAGCAAAGGCATGTGGCGGCAAAGAATAAAGGCCCAGTTCAATCTTCCTTTCTGCAGTAAGTTTTGAAAACCTAATGATGCAAAGGATTGAGTAAGTGAAGCAGGGCAGGAAGTAGTTTCTCAATGCTGTTAGTCATTGCTCTACAAATGCACAGACTGCACTTAATCCTCTTGCCCAACCCTCTTAAAATAAAACAGTTTAGGGTGCAATCCCATGCACATTTAGACAGAAGAATATCTTGCATCTCCAGATGTCCTGGCTGGGACACCTTGCAGTTCTACAGCTTCATGGGATTGTGCCTTTAACCCTGTTAAAGGAACTAATGTAGCATTGAATGTAAGAGTGGTAGCTGATGCATTTCTGGATCAGCCAGCCAGTCCTTGTCTGCACCCCAGTTTTCCACTCCATGAAAACTTGTGCTAATGCATAACTAATGCTAATTAGTTCAAAAGTATTTTCCAAAAGCCTTAATGTGAAGGCATTGTGGGATTCCAAACTTTCTCTATAGCTTAATTATTCCAGCAATGGTTCTGGGTACAATCAGGTGCTGCAAGAAGAACATAAGACTTTCTGGGTCAGTTTTACGCATTTGTCTGCTACTTTACTTCTGCAGGTTATCTTGCACTGTTTAAATGCAGGCTTTCTAAAATGATGAATGCCTTGGTTGATGGGAATGTAGGTTTGCTCCCTCCCTCTCAAGTATAATCTTCATTTATTTGCACTGTTTTTTATTAGTTTGGAATTGCGAAGGAGAAGAAAACAGCGAGCAGTGGTTTCCACCCCACCCACTACTCAGTAGTGTTGTAGTCGAGCCTTATTTTTGCACAACAAAAACTATTTCATAGTTAACACACTACAAAGTGTGATAGAGTGGTATTTGTAAAATGATTAAGCACATTTAGCAATGCTTTTTATATTCATTTTGTTACAAATGCCACCTGTTACTTAATACCCCCAACTTGTATCTGATATATTATTCTAAGCATGCAGTAATGGTGCTATACTATTCTCGTGTAGCTGTATTTTAATTATAAAATACAGCATTTTCAAAAATCAGCTGCTTTTTCATTGTGTGGACAGCTAGGCTGGGAATAGTTGTTTCACTGGGAATGTATGAAAGGGAGGGAAGGCTAAAAAGCTACGACAATATTATAGGTTAAAGGTGTTGAAGTTAAGCCTTTCTAATTTTTTAGAATATAAATACAAATTAGCTCCCTTTATTAAACATAAAAAGGTGTGCTTCCTGTCTCCCACATGGTACACATTGTAGTTTAAGACAGTGTTGCTTTTAACTTTGTCTCTAATGGGTCCATTTCTAATATCTGGGTTATTTGGTGTGTGTATACTTTGGAATATGGTGATGTATTTTACCTTACATCTCTTTTACGTATAAACTTTGGCTCTCATTTGGAGCATGCATTGCACTGATAAAGGGTGCAGTCTTTTAATTATTATTAGCAACTTCTTTTATGGCAGAAAAGGCTGAATCCAACAAGTTATGAGCAACTATCTGCTCATGCAGTGGCAGTTTCCCTACCCAACCTCACTGTACTGCATGCCTCCAAAATCTGTTCTTAAAGATCCTGCAGCCCTCTGGAGTAAATTGGGAGGGCGACATGGCAGACTGAAGGGGAGGAGAAATTCAATTTGCCACCAGTGGCTGCCCAATTGGCAGAAGTGTATCAATCAGATATGACCCAAAATGTTAATTTCTGCTTTTACAAACAAATTTTTAAAAAGTTGTATATGTTTTGAACAAAAGTGAATGCCTTGAATACCTCCCAACTACAGGAAGCATTGGTTTTTTGGGGACATGTACTTGATCACCTGAATATTAAAGCCAGTTTTGCAAACTCCTGTATAAGATTATATTTTCTCCTGAATGCCAGGGATGTTGAGGAGTATTTCAGTTAGACCTGCAGTAATGAATACAACTGCACTCAGTATATACTTTTGCTCTGAACTCTTACAATAAGCCTGAGATGGCTGTATTGGTTTATTTCACTGTATTTTCCTGGCAAAAACCGCATTGCGCTTTTCCATGAGAGTGCAGTGAACACATCACAAAGTAAATATGTGTGGCCATCTTGCACATTACAAGTTTCATTGCAAAAATGCACAGTTGCACAAGTGTTATATATACTTACTTGTAACAAGTGAAGCTGCTCATGATATGCCAAATGGCTGGATGTGTAAGGACTGGCTGTTTCATTAACTGAGTGTTTGTTGAACCAGTCTGCAATTCAGAGAAATACCTTTACAAAGCAAAACTGAGTGTTTTAAAGTGTCATCTAAGGTTCTGGGGAATGTTTAAAAGCCACTTGGAACTCTCAGTGCAAATAGTGCTCAAGATGTCTCCGTTCTGCTCCCCCCTTTTCTGTCCCAGCCTATGCATATTTGTTGCTCTTGCTGTATGCAGCTGACGCTGAGGTTCAGAACCTCTTTAAGATCAAGCCATCTGTGAGAGCAGGACTGACTCCACTGAGTCAATGGGAAATAGTTTGTTTTGAATAGAATGCACTTTCTGACTTTTCTCATTGATGTCTGTAGGGGTGGGGAAAGGCAACTTTAACACTGCATCGCCTTGCTTAAGGATTTTGGGGGTTTTGTGATAGGAGTATTACATATTTAAGGATATTCAGTACAATATTTAAATATGCTGCTTTAATTTCATAACAGCATCAATGTAGCCTTCTGGGACTTTGGCTTATGTTTACAGAACAATGTTTGAATATGACAATAAATACTCTTATTTTGGTTCTATCTTGCACCATCTATTCACCTCTTGGTGGTTTGAAAGGTAACTAATGCTTCATGTGCCTCAAATAAGAACTTATTTTTAAATTTTTATTTTGGTAAGCCAAATGCAGCCTTACTTAACAGGAGCTTTCATCTGTGTGATCTTGGGTTTGTGTCATTAAATTGCCTGTGTGAAGAACACTTCCTTGTCTTATCAGTGTGTGACCCTGATTCTCCTCTACCCACAATCCCACTTGCTGTGTGTGTCAGTTTAAGTGTTCTAGAGCTTAGTCTCCAAACCCATATACTCTTTAGTAACTAGAGAGACACCTCCTCTTGCATAATATGGGTTGCATTTGAAAATATCTGGGGCATAATCAGCATATCTGTATCTGGTTACATCATACCAACAACAATGGGCTTCTGTTAAACCAGTGATGCTACTGTGTTTCTTTGCATATAGACTAAAGACTGAGCAGGAAATAAATGTTGCTATATAAACCATGAAACTTAGCAGTGACTTTGTTTCTCCCCTCTTCCCCTTCCCTTGCTGAAATGGCTTTGGAGGCATTGGAAACATGTAGATGGTTGGAGGTTTGGATAAATGTTGGTTCACGTGGTGGATATTGCAGGGTTGATCTGAGTCAATGAAGTTCTCAGTTTTTGCTAACAGGGCATCAGTTTATCAGTAGATCTCAAGCCCCAGCTGAGCAGCAGTGTGTGATTTTGTAGAAGTGACTTCTGTGCACATATCCTCAGCTGGACTCGTCATGGCCTGATCCACCTGCTGGTGCTGGGCATGTGCAGCTCCAATCAGAAAATCAAAGCATTATGAGTCATTGACTTTCTGCCCCTGAACATCTGGTAAAGACTACAGACCATGTAGTCTGTTCTGTGCAGATGTGTGAACATGTGTGATATTTTCATAACGAATTGCTCAACATCTGCAAAATCATAGATAATAAGGTTGCACTAAAGAAAAATGATCCAAAATCTATAAGAAGGCAGTATCTTTTTTGGACCAGGCAAAATGTAGCAAATGATATGCAAGTTTCCAGAGCTTCACTAAGGAACTTCTACAGCCCAGATGTTAAAGCAGGGATGTGAAAAAGAAAGTTGGCATAATATAAGCCAACTTATCTGCAGCTGTAACAGTCTACAGGTTGAACTAGTCAACACTAAATATTTCATAGAAGTGCTGGGTTTTTTAAATGAATAACCATGGAGGAGGGAGGAATTTTATCAGGACTGTAGGGTATTGAATTAGCCCATTCATTTATAGTTTTTCAATCCCACCCTTTTCTCCTCACTGTGTTTCTTGTTTTAGTGCGCTCCATGTTTTGGACTACAACCACCATGTGCCCCAGCCAGAATGACCAATTATGGAACTCTGAGTCCAAAACATCTGGAGGGCACCAAGTTGTCTAATTTAGCTGGAATCCTGGAGGAGACTTGCAGATATATGAAATTAACTTATTTTTTATACAAATTACACTTAAGGATGTTGGAACAAAGACAGTCATGGCAAATCTCCATTTTAAAATGTCTGGCTTCTGTATGTTTCCAATTCTAGGCGAAACACAAGTTCCTTATGAGGCAGACCGAAAAGTAATTTTAAGTGGTGTACTAGATCAACAGTAAGAATTTAGTATTTCCCACCTATTTGTTAAAGTGCAAATGTGCTATATATGGAGTTTAAGGTTTGGACTGAAGTGGGGAATAAAATGTTGCATACAGAGCAACTTAAGTGGTTCAACCTTAAGGAATAGCAAAGTCTTGTATCTTGCTGTAAAACCTGTTCTATCTTTAAGAAAGGAGCCTATAAACATTGGGTTGTAAATCAAGGGAAACATCAAGCAACTTGAAAACAAGTTCTGGGAAAACTATTCGGACTCAATTTATCCAGGCAAAAGTGGGATGAAGAGTCGGGCATTTCAAAGGCTTAAGTCTTGGACATATTTTTAATCCCCACAAAGAAAGCAAGTTGCCCATTCTGTGTCACTGAATAAAAGTTGTGGCCCAGTTTCTGTCTGCCTCTTCCATATCGAATGCTATATATTTGCTTAAACTTTCTCAAGTACCTTCCCTTCATGTTGCCGGCAAATGAAAATGCTTCTATAGTGTGGCCAATTTTTTTCCACCACCCGTCTTGAGTCCCAAATGCCTCCTTTCCCCAAGTGGCTGCAGCCCTGCTCTAGAAACCCTTTACAAAAGCTTTGAAGCTTGGCATATCTGCAGGACATTCATCCACATGTAGCCTGGCTTGATCCCTTGGCAAAGTTCTTGGCAGTTTGCTTCAGCTCCTTCTATAGGGAGCTTTCCCTTCTATTAGAATTGGCATCTCATCAAGCAACTGTCTGCAAGTATTGTAGATTCCTTCGGAAACGTGAGTGCAGATTTGGGCTCTGAATGTATATCATTCAAAGCAGCCTCCCCTGATCTGGTGCCCTCCAGAAGTGTTGATTTGCAACTTCCACCATTTCCCCTCTGAATGGAAGTTGCAGGCTAACACATCTGGGGGGCACCAGGTTGGGGAAGGCTGAATTAAAGAATCTGTTCCATTTTTCCATACTGTTTTTGTCTTCCTTGTGAAAGTGTTAAAGATTTATTCAGATGCTCATACTAACTAGTGTATAGGAAGGATGCTACTGTGACCTTTCTCTTGGCAGCAGTGGAACTGAAGAGTCTATGAAATGAATCCCATTTTAATTGTAGGTTCTTACAATCCATTGTGGACATGACTGAACCATGCTCAATGAGGCCCATGGACCCAAGGGGGCTTTTGACTTGTGATTTGTCAGCAGTAGTCCTTCATGCTGCAAGGCAAAACAACTTTGGAAATGGATTGCAGTGACACAAACAGTATTTGGTCTGGTCTTTCAACAGAAGTATTTTTTTTTAAATCTTTGAGTTAACAAAAGCCATTGGTGTTTGCCTAATTCAGCTCTTTGGATCACAGCCCATAAGCCTCATCTGAGCCATTGTGCATCCTAGTTGCATTCAATTTGTATTCTCACAGTTTATGAAATTCCACTGGCGAGAGCGAGGCTTGTATGAATACGGCAGAATGAACGCAGAAGAGAATGCTCTTCCACTGCTGAAGGAAGGAGAAATCTCTCTCTCTCCTGCTGCTCCTTTTAATGCAACCCTCTAGAGAAAAACTTCATGCAAATGCAAAACTAACACAATAAGGAATGAGCTGGCCTAGAAAATCCCCCTACTGTGGGATTTTCTTTTTAAATGGAGAACATTCAATCTTGAGTCTCCACCTGTAGTGCAAAATGGGAATGATCCACTGTTGCTCCTTCATTCTGTTTGCATTGTAGGCCATGCTTCTGCATTCAGTTTTAACATTCCTGGGATGCAAGGCCCACCCAAGAGATTTTGCTGCCTGAGGCAAAGAGTAAAACGGCCCTAGCTACCATTCCGTATACAGAAGCCAACTAAAGTGATGATGTTGCTTTAAACACTGACAGTGGTTTTGACCACACCTGAGGACAGCAAGTTAGCTTAATGGGTACAGGAGAGGCTGTCCCCCCCACGGCATCTGTGCCCTGTGGCAGCCACCTCATTCCACTTGTGATACTGTTTTGATTCTAAATGATGCAGTATGAAAATGAGGGTCACTGAGCAACTGGAAAAGTCAGTATGGTGCAGTGCTTCGAGTGCTATCCTGGGACTTGGAAGATCTGGGTTCTAGTACGTATTAAGCCATCACACTCCTTGGGCTAATCGTTGACTCTCAGTCTAACCTATCTTGCAGGGTTGTTGCAAGGGTAAAATGGAGGAAAGGAGAACCCTGTAAGCCAGCTTGGATTCCTTGGAAGAGGAAGACAAGGCAGGCTATACATGTGAATGTGTGGAGCTGGTGTGGTGTGGTGGTTAGAGCATTGGACTGGGGACCTGGGATATCTGGGTTCTAGACCCCACTCGGTCATGAAGCTCCCTGGGTGGTATGGGGCCAGTCACATTCTCTCAGCCTAACCTACCTCACAGGACTCTTGCTGTTAGGATAAAAATGGGGTGGAGGAAAACTATGTAAGCCACTTGGCTTTCCTCACAAGAAGACAAAAGGTGTGGTGTAAATGGGACATAATAATAATAATAATAAAAATAGTAAATGTAAATTATAATAGTTGCAATAGTGGTCAGGGAACCTGAGCAACTTCTAGATAGACCACCTTCCCTATGTGAAACGATTGCAGTTACAAAGTTTAACAGCCAGTTAAGGGTATAGGGCAGGGCTCAGCCGCCCGTGGCTCCAGAGCCGCAGGTGCCTCTTTCATCCCTCTGCTTGTGGCTCCCTGTCACTCAAAATATGTGTCACAACTGCCAATGTGTGACACCCACTGGCATGCGATTTATTGAGCTTTTTGACCTCTGGTAGGCCAACCATGGATAAATCCAAGAAAAGAAAAGTTTCAGAAGAAAACATTTAATGGTACGTGGGCAGATTTATTTGCTTTCACTGCTGATGAGACTGGTTTACCAGTATGCTTAATATGTGGTGAGAAATTGGCAAACAACAAAAAGTTGAATGTTGCAAGACATTTCCAGAATAAACACACAGCCTTTGCTGAAAGATATCTGGATGGAGATGAGAGAAAAAAAGCCATTTCAGAACTGATGCGGAAGGTTGATCTGAGCAAAAATCATTTCAAGGAGTGGATTAAGTCTGCAAATTCAACTACATATGCTAGGTTTGTGGCCGCTCAGGAAATATTCAGGCACGGGAAGCTGTTCACAGATTGAGATTATATAAAAGAATCATTCATTGATTTCATAAATGCAACACACTATTGTTTTTTAATACATAGCATAAAGGTAAAAAACGATATATGCAGTGTTATTTTCATTTTTGATGTCAAAAGGGTTTTGTGGCTCCTGGTGTTTTCTTTTCTGTGGGAAACGGGTCCAAATGGCTCTTTGAGTGTTTAAGGTTGCCGACCCCTGGGATAGGGGTTAGTAGGGATGGGTAAAAAATTGGCTGGGCTTGTATTTTCAGCTAAGATTAGCCAGTTCGCAGTTTCTGGACTGACTGCAATTTATGGCTAGAAATCCATACAGTTCCAAGTTTCCAATGTTTTTCACAAAACAAAACACATGGAAATTGCATTCAACAAAATGCACACATTGAAAAATGTGTACATTGCTAACATTCAAGCAAGCCTTCCTCATAACAACTGCATAAAAATACTTATGAACTTCTGCACAAGGGGAAAAAAAGTTTGCTTGGAGACAGAAGGTAGAACAAGATCCAGAATGAGATTGAACTTGACAGACTTGTCCATCCCATGTGATGGAAAATTTCCAAATGATACATAGTGTGGAAAAAGCAGGCAGAGGTAGTCTTTTTGTCTTCTTAGCATCAGAACTTGAGGTTAACCAGGGAAATTGGCAGGGGATTCAGGACAACGAAAAGGAAGTAATTCTTCATAATTAATTTGTGGAATTTGTAGCCACAGGATGAAGTGATGACCACCTTTACTTTTGATGGGTTTAA